CAGAACACCTTTTGTCCTCTTTTCTACATCTTGTCTGTCTAGAAGTTGTATTTGAGTCAGGTTGCATTATTTATTCTTTTTCCCCCCTTTTTAATACAAATAAGGTTTTTCTGAGTAAAGGTGAATGTGCAATCTGAGAAGATTATAAAGCAGTAATAATCTCTACCCTTACTTACCTTTTTTCTCAAGCTTAATGTTCCACTGTTTCTTATCTTTTCTTTTTTGTACATGTAATTGGGAGTGAGTATGCATGTTTTCTGTTTTTGTTGTTCATAGTTGAATTTGTTAAATTGCTTGCTCTGTGTATATTATCATGATTTGGATGTTGTGCTGCATAGCTTTCACCTGCTGTTCTAGTGCTATGCCTTACCTTGCTCTAGGTAGCTGGCCTGCCTATACATGCAAATGGACTCCCTTGTCCCATGGCTGCCAGTTGGATTCTGCTGATGGGGATCATTGTCAACCGATAAAAGAGGTGGGGTTAGGATATTTACTTTCTTGACTTCTTCTTGTGAGATTTCTGTAGCCTGGCTGCATCTTTCCATTGAAGCTCTCAGTTCTTATAAGGCAGCCTTCTTTATTTTAAGGCTCTGATGATTTCTTCCTCTTTTCCCTCTTTTACTGCCAATGGATACTAAGCCCAGCTGTTACTAACCCTGGGATATTACACTCTTACTTATGATTTCCTTACTGCCTACCTGTGATTTGTAGCAGTCTCTTGATTAAACTTTTCCTCATGTTACCTAAATTGTGCCATCTGTTTCCTAATGTAACCCTGACTGATAAAATATGCTTTAAAGATAGTTTAAATTCTTCCAGTGGCTATTATGATTGTAATTCTAAAATGGATTAATACTAGAATAAAGAAAAAAATTACTCTGACAACTTCATGAATTTATTCTGCAGGGTGATATCATTTTATTTTTAATTCCTCCATAAGATTTGTTTTTCAGCATTATGACCTTGTTTATCAAACATTTAATATGGCAAAATTTACTGTCTTAAGCATTGCAGAGAATTCAGAAATAGTGAATAAGGCATAAACTCAGTGATTCAAATGTATAGCAGTTTGTAATGAGTTTCCTGTGGGGATTAAAAAGTGTTATGAAAGTTTCAGAAGAAGGAGATTGATCCATTAAGACCATTTTGTTTCTGTCTGCAGTGGGATTGAAGGGAGATCCATAGTCCTGTGTTCCTGGAGAGATCTCCTCTTCTCAGTTTTTGCTTAGCCTTAACTCATCACACTATAACATTTGAGTTTCTTCTTTTGAGAAAGTTCTGTTTAGTTCAGCAAGTGATAACTTTTGTTATTATTGTTCCTTAGTACTTTTCTGCCCCTGGCCCCATATTCCTTATTTAAATAGATGTGATTTACTGTGTCTTTCTGTTACAGTTATCCTAGTCAGTTCCTCTCATTTATTTTAGATTTTAGCAGCTTACATAATGTATTTTTCCCACTGGTCATTTCTTGACAATCCCAGTATCCACATGGATCATACATGTGGCCTCCCAAGTCCTTGACCTTCATTCCAATGATCCTTCATTCCATTTTAATCTTCCCTTTTCCTTGGCACTACTGGGATTTAAACTCATTACTCCATACTTGCTATGCAGGTGCTTACCCCTTGAGCCACAACTCTCGTTCCCCCATTTTAGACCCTTTTATTTATCAAGAATTCTGTCAACACTCAGATTGCAATTTCAAGTATCCTGCTCTGTAAACACTTCCTGCCATGATTCCCTCTTTTCTACTCATACTCATTTGCTGTAATGACTTTTGCTAAACCTCTTTGTCTTCGTTTTTCTCAATCTAGCTTAAAGTCTCTGGCCTGCTGTTGTAGCTACCCCCTTGTTCTGTTCTACTTGAGAAAAGCTAACACTGTTCCTCTTTATATCTAAACATTGAAATGAGGCTATATTCAAGTACATTCTTCTGACTACTTTCACCTTAACTATTCATGGTCACAAGTCAAAGATCTTTTTCAGGTGATGGCATTTTATTGTACCAAAATAGAGAGGAAAGAGCCTTATCGCCTATCAGCAAATCTGTAAGCAATTAGTTTTAATGACTTTCTCTTAGCAGTTTGGTCTGGTGGAGAGTAGGAGCAGATCCATTACTAATTAGTTTAGAATTTTGAATAAATCCTATAGGTGGCTAACGTCAAATGTTTTTACAGTTTGCCATCAGGCATTCTTATCTTTACTTTGTATTACCAGTAAAAGCATCAATATGTCCTTAGCCCATTTCCTTCATTATAGTTGTATGCTTATTATTCATTTATTGTTTTTAGTTTAAAAATTATGTGTGATAGTGAGTAGAGATTTTGGAATGCAAAGACTTAACTTCAAAAAGTGTCCTGACAGCCTGGTGCCCTTGGCTCATGCCAGAAGTCCTAGTTACTCTGGAGGTAGAGATTGGGAGGTTTGTTCAAGGCCAGCTGTTTTGGGAAAATAAAGTTCCCAAGATACAATCTCAACAGGAAAAAGTTAGACATGGTGGTACACACCTGTCATCGCAGCTTCTGTCAAAAGCATAAACGGGAATTTCATTCCAAGCTGGCCGCTGCAAAAAGTGAGACTACTTCAAAAGAACCAGAGCAAAAAGGTCTGGAAGCTTGGCTTAAGGCAGTAGAACCACATCCTAGCAACTGTGGGATACTAGTACTGCCAAAAGAAGGGGGGGAAAAAAAAGTATCCAGTTTGGGATGTTCCAAAATTAAAAACTTAAAGTCTCCCCGTTATGAATGTAAATATAAAAATGGAGAATTCATATTTTGGGGGAATCATTAGTTAGGTTTCTGAGATTCCCATGCAGTTTTTTTTTTTTTTGGCACAGGGTCTTGCAAGTCACCCAGGCTGACTTCAGACTTGCCATCTGCCTCCTGAGTATTGGAACTATCGATGTAGTTCTCCTCTCCCCCACTCCACCCCCCACCGTTACCTAGGCATTGAACCCAGGGCCTATGCTTGCCTAAATCATGCCATGCTTACCTCTACCATTGGAGTCAGAGCCATGCTCCCAGTCCCTATTTAATTCTTTTTTAATGGCTAAAAAAATGTTTGGAGAAGCTGAGTCTCTTCAGGATTTATATTATTTCTGGCAGTAAGTTGTATTTCCATTCCTGGGTGTCTGGACTTCTTAGGCTTTGCCACTGAAATGCTTTTATATGAGATTGTTCCTTAGCCGAGGCTTCACATACGGTAACATGTTTTAACTGACATTTTAGTATCTGCTATGAGCCCAGAATAGGAGGAACCACAAGAAACTTTGTTTTGAAACATGCTTGGGGATGTGATGGGAGAGAACATTAAGTCCTTTTTCTTATCCTTCCTTTTTTTTCACCCTTGCCCAGTTAAGTGTTTCCTTTCCTTTACTGATTTCTCAATTCTTTGTCAGTTTTTTGAAACTAGATACTATGTTCTTTTCATAGTGTCATTTGGTTATTCTTTAATGTAATACAATTGTGGAAGTTTATGAGCTTATTTTAGAGCTTTATTGAAAAACAATTGATTATAGTAATCTGCATATTTAAAACATACAATTTGATGAATTTTGTCCTATGTATACATTGAAGCCACCACTGTATTAATAAGACCATACATGTTCTCATTATCGCCAAGAAGTCCTGATGCCTTGTCTCATGAATCCACTTATAAATAAGTTTATATTTTCTTTAAAATTTTAAATGAACAGAATCATACGATATGTACTTTTTTCTGGTCTGACTTCTCTCAGTCAGTACAGTCATCTTGAAGTTTACTCATCTTTTTTTGTATTAATACCTTTCTTTTAATTGCTGAATAATATCCTACTTTGGTTATTCCACAATTTAACCATTCACCTGCTTATGCACATCTGTGATCTTCATGGGTTATTTCTGATTTGGAGTTGTTATCAATAAAGCTGTTAGGAATATTTGTGTACAAGTCTGAGTGTGGATATTGGCATTCATTTTTCCTGAGTAAATAGCTAGTAAATATCCAAAGGTGTTGCACCATTTTGCATTTTGGAGAGCTCCATTTGTTCCACATTCTTACCAACACAATACAGTCACTCTTTTAGCTTTTCTAGAAGTAAGGGTATGTATGCTGTGGATGTTTGTCATAGGGTCTCAGTGTCATTTTAATTTGCATTCTACATGACTTCTGATGTTGAGCTATTTAGTTGCCACATGTAAATCTTCTGCTGAAGTGACACTTCAGGTCTTTTTTCCTCCTCTTTATTGAGTTGTCAGTCTTTTTTATAATTCAGTTGTAGGAGTTCTTTACATTTTCTATATTCATTCAAGTTCTTACACATTTCACAAATACTTTTTATTGACCCTTTTGCCTTTTGTTTTTCAATTTTTTGAAGAGAGTTTTAAATGTTGATGAAACCCACTTTATCAGGTATTTTTTTCATTATGTTTTTTTTTTTTTTGCTGTTTGTATCCTATTTTAGTTCTCTATCATGTAATTTCTCTTGATTCTTCAAAATTAAAGTCTCAAGATTCTAATTTTTTAGTTAATGGACAAAAAAAGCATCTGACGCAATGATAAAGTCAAAGTTGTTCTGCCTTGTGCTGTTATTTTTACACTTTCATAACAACTTGTTTGTGATTGTAGTGTTTGTTCCTTTTGTTTGATGTCCAGCTTATTTAAAGGGCCTACAAAATTATTTCTTATCAAATTTCTGTTGTATGGGTAAGGGAACCGAGGTTTATATAGGTTACTTGACTGTGCTGATGGTTTACAGTTGATGGTCATGTCAAGACCAAAAAATACAGATTGCCTCAAATCCTGGACACTATTTCCCTTTGCAGTAATCTTTTTATAATTCTGTTGTTAAAAGTTTATTGCATACTACAACATTAATCCCTGAATTCTAAATATCCTTATTAAATGCAGTATTATTGAAATTATTCAGGTTAGCTTTCTGAAAGAACTAAAATTTTCTGCTTAAAAATTCATTAAAAGAAGTTGTTGAATTTAACACTTTTTTTTTTTTTTAAATTCCGAAGGTCTGTAAACAAATTTGGCTAGGATTATTTGATGATAGATCTTCAGCAATTCCAGACTTCAGGGATCCACAAAAAGTGAAAGAGTTTCTACAAGAAAAATATGAAAAGAAAAGATGGTGAGTAAATAGTTTGTATTTAGGGTCAAGCATCCCAAAATTACATTGACTATGGGTAAAATTAATCTGACCTGATGAAGGAAGGAAGCCAGGGAGGCAGGCAAGAAGGAAAGAATTAAATAGGTTGGTATGCAGGTACATTCTCGTTATCCTTTGGCTTTTTATTAGATAGGGTTTCTAAAAACCTTTACTTCTACTTTATGTTAAGTCTTCTATGCCTAACAGCAGCATTGTCATTATAATACCAGTTGTCTTACCCTTATTTTGGGGGCGGGGGTGGGGGGATGGGAGTATGGACTGGGTTTGAACTTGGTGGTTTTTGCTTGCAAAGTAGGACCTTTACTGGTTGAGTCATACCTCCAGTCAGTTCCCTACCCTTTTTTGAAAGTTAAGGATCTTTCCTTCTAATCCTTCCTTTTTCTTTCTGTAGACACTGTTTGCTCTATAAAGCCTCCTTTCTCAAAGTCTTTATTCCTTTAGCAATTATTTATTGAACAGTATCTTTTATATACTAGGCATTATACTAAAACTCTGATGCAGTAAGCTGTCTACTTTATTTGCATCTTGCAATAAGTCTTTGCTCAAAATATCCTTTACTTTCCATCTAAGAATTTTCAGTTTACCATCTGGCTAAGAAAAGAGCATTCATACTCTCCTAACTAAATCTATCAGGTGTTAATTTTTAAAGAATAATTGTGAGTATGGTAGAACAATTTGTAATTCCTGCCACTTGGGAAGTTTAGGCAGAAGAATCAGAGAAGCCAGCCTGGGCAGTTTAGTGAGACTCTGTCACAAGAAAAAAAGAAAAGGAAAGAAACTGGGGTTGTAGTTCAATGATAGAGTGCTTGCCTAGGATATGCAAGGTCCTGGGCTTCATCCCAAGTTATCCTCCCCTCTCCCCAAGTTTCCACAGCAAAAAAAAAATCTAGAATATTGCACATAAAGCCGGTATGTCCTTTAAAGCAAAACTTGGTGGACTATACCCATCAGGTTATTGTTCATCTACTCAGGGCCTCTCCGTTTTAGCTTTACAGTACAATTGAAGTATAGTTTTCTAAGACTTAATAACTATAAACTCCTTTGGTTGCTTCTTTTAACAGTTTTGAACAAGTGTGTATTTCCTTCTTAGAAGTTAAGAAGATGGGAGCGAGAGTCAAGGAGTAGAGGGAATAGATAAAGGGGAAGTAAACTGCCATTTGCTTCCCTGAGGAACAGTCTTTTAACCCTAGGAATGATTCATTCAGAGACAGTTTGAGTTCTGAGGGAGCTCTTGGGGAAGAGGGTTTTTGTTTTGTTTTAAATCCTTTTAATTTTTTTTGACAGTACTGGCATTTAAACTCAGCCTGACGCTTGCTAGTCAGGCACTCTACCACTTGAGCCACTCCACCAGCCTGGGGAAGAGGTCTTTGCTTTCATTTATTATTAGCTTTTGAGTCTTATGCTTTGTTGAAGTTTGTAGTCTTTTTTTTTTTTTTTTTGGCAGTCCTGGGGTTTGAACTCAGGGCCAGGCAGGTGCTCGACCACTTTAGCCACACCCCTTCAGTTTTTGCTCTAGGGCTTCCTATTTATGCCTGGGCTGGCCTGGACCATAATCCCCCGATTTATACTTCCTGTATAGCTGATGACAGGTTTGCATCACCACACCGCACTTTTCTGGTTGAGAAGGAGTCTTGGGATACTAACTTTTTCTTAGAGCCTCATAGTGATCTTCCGCAATGTCTTCCTCCCTAGTAACTAGAACTACCTGGAGTTTGTATTCTTATTGCTGTCTAAAATAGACTACTCTTTGCAAGGCTAGATTAACCAGGGCTGTATTCACCTTTACTAAATAAATACACTGGATGTGAATTCAGATAAAAAATAACAGTACAATTCGTGTTGAAGAAAGAAGAAAATATTGATAGGAAAAATAGTGGTGTGAGTGACTCTTTTAAAAGGTATCATCATCCTTCTATCATTTTATGTTTTAATTTACTACACCTTCCAAACTATAGATAAAACTGTTCTTGTATATCCCTAACATAATTTTTTGGTTTTTTTTCCAATAGTCTTTGACTAACTCAGAAAGTCAGTTTGGTTAGGACTTAGTGGGGATTTTAGATAGGTTAGCTCTGGTTATGAAAAGGGAAAATAAAAACAAATAATAAGAAAAAAATTCAAATAATGTTGCTAGAATTAAAACCATAGATTCCCCACTCCTACATTTATAGCAGTAGTAAATTACTCATTCAAACTGTAATCCAAATAACTGAAAGTTTATAATAATGATAATTTGTATTATTTTCTTTACTGAGAAACAAGGTAGCAATAATGAGTAGTACAAATAGACTTGAAATGTTAGGTGAAGAGAGATGAATATCATTCTCAAGGTCCAGAACCTATACATCTTTAACTCCTGTTCTGTACACCACCTGTAACATGTAACTAGAGAATGATGAAATAGTGGTTGCCATGGTATGCACACTATCTAAATGCAGTCTCCCTGAGAACACTTAACTATGGGAAACAGCACAACAGTGGTGATGATGTTATCCAAAAATACTTGAAATTGTTCTTTTGACTAGTTTTCAGAATCACTTTTTATCTTATGCATCATTAGCTTCTTGACATTAAGTGGGACAAGTCTTTTGAGCCTTAAGCTATTATCAGTTTTTATCTTTTTACTTTGATCAGAGTTGGCTACACTCCCAAATCTGTGTCTTTAGTGGAATGCCATATTATGGGACAGTATATCTTACTGTTTCATTCTTGGCATCTCATGTCTTCCCCACTTACTGGGGGAATATAGCAGTTGTATTGCTTGTGATTACTATATGGCTTGATAGTAGCTAACATTCCACGTAGTTATATTCTGGGAACCAGTCGAAGTGCTCTACAAATGTTAATTTATTTAAATTCCATAGCATCTCTATATTTTATCGATGAAATAAATGGATGCACGAGTTTAAATAATTTGCCCAAAGTTTGACAGTCATTGAGTGATGAAGCTGGGATTTAAATTTTGTCTCTGAAATCTTTTCGTATTTCTCCCACCAGTTCCATAATGGGGAATGGGAAGAGGTTATAAATATACCCAAAATTATAGAGTGCAAATCTGTCAGATAATCCCACCCTGGAAATTAACATTTGACATTTCAGCATTATATCCTTAGTGCCTCTCATTCCTTTCTTCACTCCCCTCCTCCCAAGAAATCCTGTTTTTGTGAAGGGGGTAAAATCTGAACACCTAGGAAAGCTTATGGGCATCTTTACATATGAAAGCAAGATGGTAGCTATATAGTATTATACATATTTTAACATAATCCCTTTAAGTATTTTTCTCATAGTGGATATTTGGTTTGTTTCCAAGTTTTTAAAAAATTATAAAGATTGCTGTGGTAACATACATGTGTTTTTGTACACATACTCAAATAATTCTTAAGAATAAGTTTCTGAAAGTGGTACTTTTGGAGTACAGACCATACCTATTTATATAATTTCAGTAGATAGCAACTGAGAATTTATAAAGTTCATACAGATCAAAGGTGAATAATACCTTAATTTGCATTTTTATTAGGTTATAAGTTTTCACATCTATGTCTTTTGTAAATTGCTTCCTTTGTCTACTTAACAATGAAGTTGTTGATCTTATTTTTTGTGATTTACGATAGGCCTTTGCATTTTAGGCTGTTGACTGTAATGTTTCCTTACCTTCTCAGCTATCTGTCGTCAAATGTTTATGATCTTAAGGTATTTTCATTTTAATCTTTATTGCTTTCTCTGAGTAATTTGAATTAAGTGTGGTCTTAAACTACCAATTCTTAGAGATAGGGTATTAAAATAAGATTAGTGTGAAGCAGTTTTGTACAAAATTAGAATTGGGTTTATCATTATTAGTAGAAAATTCTCTTTATTTTTCTTAATTAATGACCTATTCTAATGTTCACATGTTTTAGGTATGTCCCACCAGAACAAGCCAAAGTGGTGGCATCAGTTCATGCATCTATTTCAGGGTCCTCTGCCAGTAGCACAAGCAGCACACCTGAGGTCAAACCACTGAAATCTCTTTTAGGAGATTCTGCACCAGCACTGCACTTAAATAAGGGCACACCTAGTCAGGTGAGTAGTCTTAAGTCTTTGTAGGACTTTGTACTTAAGGAAAATTGAGTATGGAGGATGTGAGAATTCTTTGATAGTAGCCTACCTTGAATGCCAGTAGAATTATGTCCTAACGTTTTATAAAATACATGGAAAGATTGTTGGGTGGGTGGTAAGAAAGTATATTTTTGTTCTTTATGTGATCACTTTGGCTTTTCTGAAGCTTTGTAAAGGTGCATAAGAAATGTTGCTGCAGCTGTCTGTCATGTAGCATACAGTTAGTGAAACATGAATCTGTGGTGACTGTCAGAGTTAGAGCAATATGGCCTCTGTGATGTGCTTTAACAGGAAACAGTGGGAATTTTCCACATGTCTGTTGTATAGCATGTTTATCACTAAAATGCATGTGGCTTTGCACCTTATTCTAAAAAACTGAACAGACTGAAGCCTTTTTATAAGTTAGTACCTAATGTTTCTACTTCTATATTTTATTATAGTTGCTGAGGCAGTCACAGAACTGTTACTGTGTGGCATTGCAACCTCTTTTCTACATGAAGAATGGTTCTGAAGCATAGTACTGGGGATTAAATCCTACCCTTGATATCGTGCATTCTAGGGCTTCTGGATAAACTGTTCTATTTTCACAAAAGGCCTAAGTGGGGAAAAAAAAAAAGAAAGACAGGAGTTAAGTTAGTATACTATAACTCTTCTTATAAATATAAAGAAAGCTTTATGAATTGGAGATAGTGATACATAAAAATTCAGCACATTTGACTGGAAAATCTTCATAGTTAGTATGTGGTTTTTAGTCTCCAGTTGTAGGTCGCTCTCAAGGGCAGCAGCAGGAAAAGAAGCAGTTTGACCTTTTGAGTGATCTTGGCTCAGACATCTTTGCTGCTCCAGCTTCTCAATCAACAGCTACAGCCAATTTTGCTAATTTTGCACATTTCAACAGTCATGCAGGTATGTGTCTTTTTTCAGTAGCTTTTACCCAGGATGTATATAAAGCATAAAGAAACATAGATTCTGTGTTAAATTTAGGTGCCAATAAGTATGTTCCATGAAGGTATTTGATCATTGTTAAATGTTGAGGTCTAATATGTAGCCATGTAAGTGTGATGCTTTTTATTACCAGTAGAGATTGTATGTCACAGGAGGTCTGACCTCTTTCCATGGAAGAATAGGGGAATACATTAAAATGTGTGTGTGGGTATATACCTTTTTAAAATTTTAATGGAAAATCACAAATATTTAAAAATAAGTGCGTAATGTAGCCCTTATGTTCTAATCACTCATGGCCAATCATATTTCATTTATTTTTCCACTTTTTAACACAGATTTTTAGATATTAGTTTACCATTAAATATTTTGTCATTAAAATAAGACTTTTTAAACATCACAGTAGTATTACCATGCTCTAAATAATAGTAATAATTCATCAGTCAGTATTCCAGTTACCATTCCAGTACAAATTTGTCTGTACACAGAGTGTATATATTGTGTGCATGTATATACACACTCTCACTATATACAGACATGTACATACACCTGTGTGCACATACATGCACACAGTCTATTGAAATCAGGTTTCAAATAAGATGCATACTTTGCAATTGAGAGATACATCTCTTAGGTCTCAATCTGTAGGTTCTTCTTTTTTTTTTCTTTTCCTCTGTAATTTGTTAAGGAGTGTAGGTTATATTGTCCTATAGATTTTTGTAGTAGTCTGTTGATTGCACCACAGTGGCACCCTTTCAAGTTCCTCTCTCCTCTATATTGTTTGCAACTAGTGGTTAGATCTAGAGACCTGATCAGTTATAGGTGTGTGTGTGTGTACGTGTACATGTGTTGGGTTGCTAGGAGAGTTACAGATTCTCTGTGTTGGAGGGAGGGTTGCAAGGGCATTTATTATTTAGGGCTTAAGAGAGATAATTTTGAACTGTCTGTCTTTTTAGAGTGTTAACTGGTTAATGTGTGGGTCCATTATTCAAAATGATGATAATTTTGAATTTATCATTAATTATTCATATTGGCTGCCTACGAAAGACATATTCAAAATGAATGTGGAATCTGTTTTGGATACCAGTATGTGTTGATGTATAGATCATAAAAAGTGGGCCCATCTCAATTTGTAAGTGACTGAACATGTATCAAACCAAATGTAGAACACTAATTTAGGAGTAGATTTAGTCATTTTGTAGTTTTATTTGGTAAGTTGGCACTTTGCTTTATATTATTTTCATATAAAGTATTGGCTAAGGCCTATTTCCATAGCTTTAATTATAGATAAGAAAAATTCAAAACTGTATCTTTCTAAAACGTGCATTTCATAATTTTATAAACACAGCAGAAGCCTGCTGGTAGAACCGATTTCTTACTTGTGTTTTAGAACTTATTTTGCTGTACTTTAATTTACCTTTGAGATTCTGATGGTTTTCCTTTTTTTTGTTTTCTTTTTAATTTGATGACTGGACTCATTGTTGAATAATAATGGTTTATCTCATATGTACACATCACAAAATGTACTTTTGGGGTTTGAAATTGTAGAAAAGCTACTGTAGCCACATAACTTTCTAGCAATCATTAAAGGAAATTTTCATTTAAAATATTAATAAAAACATTTGAAGGAGGTATGCTTTCAGAGAGAAACTATGGTGTGATTTTTGTATGTTTGCTTTTAAAAGGGATCCTAGGATGGTAGATGCCTTTTTCAGGAGAGATTACACTGAAAGAATAAGACATTAAGCTTCAATTGTTGTTGTGGTAGGTTTCCCTTCTCCTACATTAGCTGAACTGCTGAACCCCCAAACCTGAAGAGAGCCCCTTGTCCCTTCACTTCTGGGTAGACTTTCACTTCAGCTTGTACTCTGACCCTGCAAGGATCCCAGCTTGCTCTCTCGTCTCACTTCTTGGATTTGAATACCAGTAAAGAGTTGGTAGAAGAATCGATTGACAGAGTGAAAGCTCTGTAATTTATTGTATATTCTGGTTTTATCTCCATTTTCAAACATAATTTGAAATTGCTGGTAAGTTACTAACTATCAAACTCTTCTGTAAATTGGTTTCCATCTTTAAATGTCGTTTGTCAGTATTCACAGATCAGGGGTTAATGTTGTACTTTTCATTGTTGTCTCTTAGCCAGAAAATGGTTAAGAGAAACCAACTACAACTTCACAGAATACTGTTCATACTTCAGTGACTCCCTTAGAATGCTCTTTGCAAAAAACATTGCCCCCCCGCTTTATTTTTATTTTTTTTGTGGTAATAATGGGGTTTGACCTCAGGGCCTCACACTTGCTAGACAAGTACTCTACCACTTGAGTCACTCCACCAGCCCAGGTTGCTGTAGCTTAGTTGTAGAATGTGAAAAATTAAAAAGGAGAAAGAAATCTATTTTTACCAGGTTGGTAGATTTTAACTATTCCGTGTCTTTCCATTTATGGTAGAAATAGTAGGGTACATGAGTGTGCGGAAATAGTTGAATAGCTGTGTAGATTTGGGTAGGGTGCCCATGAGGAGTCCTTTGATTTAAAGTTCTTACTTATGTACAGATGACTACTCAAGTAACTTTGTTGTTTTGCTTCATTTGACTTTTAGTTTGGTCCTAAAAGAATAAAATACCTGCCTGTGTAAGAAGAAACTACTATCTCCCTTCGAGTGCAGTTGATTCTATCTTTTGATGTTTTCCTTGGAGTAATTTTTAGGTGTAAACCAATGTTGTGTTTTAATTGGAATGCCTTCCCATGCATTGTGAATCTTTATTTTTCCATATGTAGTTCACAGATAAGTCATTGATTGCTGGGTTCTCACTCTGAAATACTTTTTTTTTTTTAATATTAGGTGAAAAATTTTCATGTGACAGATGGAACCTTTAATATCAAATGATGATAATTACTCAGATATGCCAGTCTGCTTTGGATTGTTTTGTTTGGAAACTTATTCTTTGCAGATACTTTAGTGGCTTAAAAGCTAGAAATTTTACTCTTCCTATGAGCATTCTGGCTATGTTGCTGGGTGGGGTCATTATTGTGTTAATAAAAGGCCATCTGTAGAAATACACATGAAGTTATAAGCATAAATACTTACTTTAGGGGGTGATAAACATTATTTCACAAGGCCTGTGGATTGTGTACTATCATTTTTATCAAACATTATACTAGGGAATCTTAAACCCAACTGCCTTGTAACCCAGGTAACACAAATGAGTAATATAATTGATACCGAAGTCTGTGGCACCCCTTCTAAAGGGAATGTTCTGAACTCCTACTGCCACTGAAAAGATGGGCTTTGTTTTATTAGGTATGTGGATTTTTTTTAGGATGATAAATTTTACTGTTTTATTTTTTAATCTGAAATGTCCTCTTTACCCAGAATTGGTGAAAAGTGTTTAATACTTTATGAATGAAACAAAGTGTATATGTCAAATGAATTTGCTGTGCGCTTCCAATTTATATCCTGTTGCCTCTCTGTTTATGTTCCTTTCTCATGAGCGTCTGTTTCTCATTGAAGAACTGTCAGCCAGACTCAGGCTCATTAACTCAGTGCCTTAAATTCAAAACTTAATTGATCCCTTTATACTTCTTGAAATTAGATTATTTAAGAAACATCTTTGCCATTTTATCACTTTCCGTTTAGATGGGGTTTCTCTGTGCAGAGTTTGCTTGAAGGTCCAATAGTAATTTTTGTATTACTGTGTTTATTGGTGTCTAATTTCTAGAGTTACATTTTTCAAAGTTAGATTCCTCAGCACTTAAAGCCATTTGAAAATAATAACTTCAGTACCTAGAAATAAAAACTGATGCAAGTACTGTGGCACTTTGCCTTGCCCTATTGAGTAGGTATTTGATTAATGTGTTTGGAGGGCTGTTTGGAAAACACTGGGAAAATATAAATGTGATTTTTACAAAATCAAAACCGTTTTTAATAAAAATGGTTTGCTTGAACTGATTCATTGTTCTCAAATGTACAACTAAATTGGTCAAAAACATAGCAATTTACCTTTTGGAATATAACCCACTCTAAATTTGAGAACTTCCTATACATTTAGCTTATAATTATAATCTATGTGTTACATACTTTTGCTTAGTAATTATTTTATCTTGGAGTAAAATTTCATTTTCAGCCTAGTATTTAAAAACCTTTAAAGAGCATATTTTTGTTTTCTTGGACATTATAGAATTATAGTGGTGGATTTGCAAGTAGAGGCTATTGAATCCTCCCATTTTGGTACTGAGAAAACTGAGAAGGCCATGTCAAAGGGCAATCAAAGGGCATGTCCAAGGTTATTGTTATCTATGTTAGGATGGAATTTTCTGATTCTTAATCTAGATTTCCTTTTCAGTAAACTGCACTTGCTTGCTAGTGTTCTCAACAATACTAAATGGTAACTGTTTTAACTTGTATACTTTTTGTTTAATCTTCTATAGATGTTTCTTCAAAGACTTTCTAAAAGAAATTAGTTTTTAATTGATCACTTTTAGTATTCCATTGTTTTTATTTTCTAGAAAGTAAATTTTCTGTAAAGAAATGGAATTTTTGTTGTAATGAAAGATTTCAAGGTATCCAGAGCATAAAGACTTATTAAATAGCCACAAGCAGCCTTTTAGTTTTGGCACTTTTGTGTAGTGTTTGAGAGAGGGGGGAAAAGGTGTTTTTAAAAGATTATCAAGAACAGTATATGAACAGTGATATATTCAAGGTAGCAGCCTATATTTCAGAATACAGAAAAGGCAGTTACAAATAGTACCTATTAAAAGGGGGTCTACTTTAGGTACATTTTCTTTCCTACTGTTCAAATATATACAAAATAGTAATTGCATAAAATGCTCTAAACTTTCCTGGTTTTCTTCCTTGAATATTATTTTAATATTTTGCTTTGTTAGTGGAAGATTTGTTTGTTTAGAAGCTTTTTTTTGATTTGTTTACAACTACAGTGCATATTCATTGCAAAATCTATGCAAATTCAGGCAAACAAAAAGGAAGAAATGATACGGATCTAAAATCCTACTACTTAGAGTTAACTGAAATGCATATTTTCTTTTGCACATAATACCATATTTAGTTGAACAAAATTGGCAGATGAATTTGCTGTCTGGAATTTATGAACTTGTCTTACCTTCCTTGATGAAACATTTTTGCATAGGATCGAATTATTTTTTGCATAGCTTTTAAAGGCTGCATTATATTGTATCCATCATAATGTTCCATAATCAATTTGAGTAATCCCTTATTGGTGGTCATTTGCATTTTTAGTGTTTTCACTTTTTAAAAAAAACACACTGCCTTAGTTTTTAGATACAGCTATATTCATATGCAAGGTTATTTCTTCCTTGCAAATCAACTTCCTAAAAGTGGAATTACCTGAAAAGGATTTTTAAAAATGGCTTCCCAGCATTTAACATTTCCCCATCCTTTGGACATGTTTTTCATTCTTTCCACTGAGCATCCTTGCTCCCACATACCAACCATTTCCTATTTGCTTCATATCCTCTTGTAGAATTCTTGTCCAGCATCTATTATGGTCTTTTAAAAAACACCTTATAAATTATTTTATTTATTTACATATTTAAAATTGAGGATAGGTCTGGTATTTTGCTGTTGGGTTGAAGGTCATTTGAGAAATACATCTTGGCCTTTTTTTACTGAATATGAGTGAAATTATAATTTCTATTGGCTTTCATTGTTTTGAGTTCAGATTGTTAGGCATTCTAGTAAAATGTGAATATCTTTAGTTTATTTGGTGATCATGTCCTTATACATTCATTTTTTTCATTTTTGTGTGCCCATGTTTGACATACTTGTAAACTTTAAAGAAACTCAAAAGAACATTTTATTAATGTGATTAAACCAGTTTGGTATCATTGCATTAGGTATTTAGAGTTCTGTTTAGATTGATATACCTGATCACCATTTTAAATCAGTGAATTTTCCAGACTGTATCCTGTATCTTTGTTTGCTGAGAGTGCTCTGAGTTCACTTTGCTTTGTTAATAGAGATGCTTTTATAGGGTATAGACCTGGAGCTATGCAAAGGGTACTGTGAACATATGTATCATTTCACAGAAGTGTTTGGATACTCTTTAGTAAAGACACTCATTATTGGTTTAAATGCTAAAATCTGATTTTTAGATGACTTCTCTTTAAATTGATTTGTAATACATTGACACCTCTCATAAAATTCTTAAATTCATTTGTCATGTGTTTTCATATTCATTAACATATGTTGTTCCTTACCATTTACAGCTCAGAATTCTGCAAATGCAGATTTCGCAAACTTTGATGCATTTGGACAGTCTAGTGGTTCGAGTAATTTTGGAGGTTTCCCCACAGCAAGTCACTCTCCTTTTCATCCCCAAACTACAGGTAGAACTTCTCCAGCATTACGTTTAAATGTTTACTTTAAAAAACAAACTCTGTAGGTGTAATTTTGAAAAATTAAATTCTTTAATTATCTGATTTTAAAGTACTCCTATCTTACAAAGCTCTGGGGAAACCTGAAATCTTTTTTTCTGTGTTCATTTGTTTTTCTGAAATCTTTGCTACGTTGTCTAATTGGCAATATCCATTTGCCTTTTCCTGCACATGAATCTTTCTTAAATTTCCTATGCCTAAAGGATTAAAAGTTTTTTAGGTTCAAGGAACACATTGATTTAGGCTGACAGTAGATCTCTGAATAAGGGAAGCTAGCTGACTGCTTCCATAGAACTAAAAATGGAAATAATTTTAAGAGCAATAAACTTGAGAAAAATTCAGACTATTAATGTAAATTCAAACTATTAATATTAAGTAGATTATTAATAATCAAATATAGAAATAATTTTTGTGCAGGAATTGGTCTTTATTAAACGTTGAGTACTTTCTCATAAACTGAACGTTTCAGGAACTCATTGAACCCATATTTAGATCTTTGGCTGATTGCTTTTCTTTCAACTTTTAACTCTGTGTGTATTGTCTTAAAGTCTTTTCTTTCAATTTTCTTTTTTTGTTTTTCTTTAACTTTCATCATTTACATAATTTCTGGCTGTGCAGCATTTAGAATGCTTTCATCTAGCTGCAGTTTTGGTGAATTTACTTCAGCTTTTCCTCTCCAGGCTACCCACAGTAAGTTCTGTTGTCAAGTAGGAATCTTATTAATTTATATATTTTGTGCTGTATTTTATGGATATTTTAAATTATAGATTGTTAATCATTTTTAATGATAATCCTTCATAGATTTACATTTTACTCTACTCTATCACCAAACTTGGAGTTAAATAACACAATAGTATTTAGTAAAAGTTGATTGTTTTGATAGCTTAAAATTTTTCAAACAGACTTTCAAAGTTTAGTATATATTTTATTAACTAATTGTAGCAGATCACTATCTTTTAAATAGAATCATAGTTCTTAGTTTTAATTGCTTTTTTTAAATGTACTCTTGAGGTGGGGTCTTTCTTGCCCAGGCTGATCTTGAACTGACAGTCCTCCTGAGTAGCTCAGATTCCAGGCATGTGCCACCATGCCCCATGTTCTTAGTTGTAATTGAAACAACCAGAGTTTTAATTCCTGGAAAAAAAAAAAAAAAGGTTTTTTTGTCAGTATATATTTGTTGTAGAATGTCTAAGACCTGATTTCTGAAAGTGTGCTTTTGCATAAGAGTTTATCCATTCTGGTTAAAAATACCTCTATATACTTTTGCTATTATCTATCTATCTATCTATCTATCTATCTATCTATAAAATGATTGCTGAGAGGATGGTTTAGAAGTCATGAACTAATATCCCAAAAGTACAGTATTAAAATTATAGGATAAAGTACACTGGTTTTAGGCTTTTGTAAGTACATTAGGAAAATCTCTAGAACATAGAACATACTTTAAAGACTTAGCAGGATGACTATAGTGACCATTAGGTGAATTGTGCTTTATGAAGTCAAAAATTGCTACAATATTCTGTAATTATGCCTTGGATTCTAATGATAGGACTTGATTTTACTGTGAACATCATTGTGTTAAATGCACATTAAATTACTGCATAGCATTAACTAATGGCTTTTCAAGTGAAATAAATCCAAAGCTCTAGGACCATCTTTGAAGAAATTTTTGATCAAAATAGTACATCTAAAACATTGTAATCCCTACCCTTGGGATTTTTAAAAATCACATCTCAATGGAACTTTAAAAACTTGAATCGTCCAAATATGATATTTTGCTTCTAGTTTTTAGAGTTTATTGAAAGAAACTTAGTAAAATATAATACATAGCTGGAAGTAACTGAATTTTAATGAGATAGCATGGAGTTACTCTCACTATAATTTGTAGTCTTCACTTCCACCTATTGTCTTACATGTTGCTAGAGCCTTTGAAAATACAGTTTCACAAATTAAAAAGTCACGTGATTTAGTAACCATTGATTATAAGACTGTATATGATTAAGAGGTCATATACATGATTACAGGAATGTCCTACAATGCTTATAGGATAATTTAGGAAGAAATGATCAAATAATACACCAAAGGGTAGTAGGAAAAGTCTAGAAATTTCAAATGTTCTGTTTATTCTGTTACAGGTGGAAGTGCTGGATCAGTAAATGCTAATTTTGCTCATTTTGATAACTTCCCCAAATCCTCCAGTGCTGATTTTGGAACCTTCAATACTTCCCAGAGTCATCAGACAGCTTCAGCTGTTAGTAAAGTTTCAACAAGCAAAGCTGGTTTACAGACAGCAGACAAATATGCAGCACTTGCTAATTTAGACAATATCTTCAGTGCTGGGCAAGGTATCGTGTTAAATGAAACAAATGCAGATTTGTGTATTAATGCTCTAAGTTGTGTATATTAAAAGTATGAGGATGTTATGCTTTCTCAGTTGTATAGAAATTTCGTATACAATAAAAAATTTAGTTTTGGACCTGAAATATCAGCTATACAACTAAAGACAGAAAATGATGGAGAAAATTTTTATTTTGTCTTAGAAAGCATGCTTTACCACTCTGTGGCCATAAAAGGCCAATAAATTCCATTACCAGAACTGACTAGAGGGTTATTTTGTTTCTATAATACTCTTACTATGAATTATTTTCTATTAATATTTTGACATTTTTTACCCATTAATTTTCTAATATATTTTTATGCCAAGTCTTGGCTGAAAGACCAATATTTTGCCTTTAAAAATGCATTGTGTTCTCTGGCTTATTTTTTTTTCATTTCCAAAATGAGAATGAGAATGGCACTGAATTCATGGAGTTGTACCCTATATATTATTGCATATAAGGCTTTAGATCAGTGCCTAACACTCTGTACGTGCTTAATAAATGTTTCCAATTAAAACTATCTGTTGGTTTTTCACATGGAAAACCCTGAGAATGTGACAGGTTGTTCATATTAGGTGCGCTAATTTAGAAATTTGTGTGTTCACTTGAAGGAGATCCATCTGTTTTGAATTTCTTTGAGAGTTCCTTTTTTATTTATAGTCTAGACACATTTATTGGAATAAGAGTCCAGAATCTTGTCCATTTAATGTTTTAGCTCCAAGTCAGTTTTAAGTTTACCTGTGTTTCATGGCAAATGTGGTTGATAAGAGTACAACGTAGAGTTTTGGTATAAGTTTGTTGTTGTTTGTTCCCAGGAGGTGATCAAGGGAGTGGTTTTGGGACCACAGGTAAAGCTCCTGTTGGCTCTGTGGTTTCCGTTCCCAGTCAGTCAAGTGCGTCTTCAGACAAGTATGCGGCCCTGGCAGAACTAGACAGCGTTTTCAGTTCTGCAGCCACCTGCAGTAACGCCTATGCTTCCACAAGTAACGCCAGCAGGTACTTGCCTTGTGTTTTGCCTTTTCTTTTTTCCCCAGCTCTGAATAATGTATAGTTTTAAGAATGGCTGTTTGGGAGATGTAGCTTAAAAATAATTGCAGAGTTTTAAAATCTGAGGAAATTCATTTTGATTTGGTTAAATTATAATCTTTGAGTAATTGACATTATTTTATTCTTCATTTAATGAGTTTTGTTTGTTTTCATCCTTGACTTCTAAAATGTAATTCCAAGAGTATGTACACATCTCTAAATGAACAGTTATGTACAGATTGTACTCAGTAGATAACTCATTTAGCAGTCAAATTACGTGCTTTTAGGGTACAGTTCTTAATCATGAAGTCTAAACAGTGAAAGTACCATGTTGTAGTAGTTTTTAGAACTGTTTGTACCAAAACCCAGTATCAGTTCTGTGTCTCTTCAGTGTCATACAGGTATTGATAAACAAACATAACTGATTTAAAGGGATTCTTGCAGCAGGAAGTCTAGCACATTTTAAAGGCATTAGGCATTGAATTTGAGATCCTTGTGCTTGTACCTCCTGAGTGCTGGGATTACAGATGTGCATTCCATGCTCTGCAAAACAATGGACTTAACTCTGTTTGAGTTACAGAGAAGACCCATAAGTAGATTTACCTGTACAGGATTTTTTGTTTATCTCTACACATCTTTATAGGAATGGAAGACATCCCACACAAATCTGTTTCTTACATTGTCCTATATTTTATTTCCCTTTGGCGTCTTTTCCAGAGAGAAATGATAAGATTATAATACTAGTTACTGTATTTTTGCTAATAAATTTTCTATTTGCCAGATCTGAAAAACTAAGTAAATTGAATAAAATTTAGGTTCTTTTTTTTTTTTTTTGCTTCATTAATATTGTCTACACTAGATAGTAATAATGGATTGTAACAAAGTAGCCATTAAGTCAGGAAGCATAAACTTGAGTTGTACATAGCAAACAGTTTATTGATACTATCTTATGATATATTACTTGCCTTTTCACTAGTTGCCATTTGTATCGCTGGTGCAGAAACAATGGCAAGTAAACCTTGTTGACACATTAACACAAATTAAGATAGTGGTACCAGACTGTCTCAGTTTAGTACTACTTAATGTTTCTCAACACCACACATGGCTTTACTTACAGGTTTTTTTGTTGTTTCTTTTTTTTTGAGATGGGGGTCTTACTATGTTGTCCAGGTTGTCCTCGAACTCATGCTCCTTCAGCCTCTCCAGTAACTAGAATTATAGGCATACACCCACTCCTGGCTTTTCCTTATGAATATTCGTCGTCAGTTTTCTTAGGAATATGCTTGGTGAAGAAGTAGCATTTTTAAACTATTAAATCTTTACCTTTAAATATATCTTCTTAATTTTCTGTGTGTTGAGGTAAGGTATACAGCAAGTAGTTTTGGTGCATAGTAAAGCATGTGCTTGTCTTGAAAGAAATTACTTGTGCAGTTGTTTGAATTGTAGGATGGATGAGTCAGTCATGTATTTTGGATGCTAGTTTTTATTTTTCTGATATACTAACTGGCTATTCAGATTTGGGTATTTGTTCACAAAAAGAGACTTAAGTAAGCCTGTCACTTTAAAGAAAATGTAATGAAAGCAAACATTAGAACTTTGGGAAACATGAGTGTTTGACAGCTTCCCGGTACTTTTCTGATAGGAAGGCTGGCAATATTAATGGATGTGATTTTTAAATTTTATATAAAGACATATATTAGCATTTGGATGATCATAATTCAGTCAACAAATATTTTCCAAATGACTTACATATGGCATAAAGTCAGGAAAAGATTCATTAAAAATACAGGATAAATTTGCGAACATTACCTTAATGGGTTCAAAAAGTTCATGGATAGGATTTTTAATTTCACCTAATCTTTAGGAATCTATCATTATTTTTGATATGATATAAAAAAATTATGATAACAAAGAAAATATCCAGTTATCTGAAAAGACTATTGAAATGCTCATTTTTTGTTCATCTGTGTGTTTATGTAAATTGACGTGTTCTTCATATACTTCAATCAAAACAAATCACAGTATATTGATCTTCTATTAAGTCAGCCACTAAAGGAATTTGCAAAAATATAAAACAGTGTTACACTTCTCATTAAGTTCCTTTTGTGTGAAAATAGTTACTATAGTAATAAAATATTTATGCTATCATGTAATAGGTGTACTTTCTTTTTAATCTGAGGAATTCCTTTTTTTGTTTCTTTGTGAAGCTGAGGATCAAACCCAGTCTGAGGAATATTTTTTTTCAATTCTCAGCGTTAATTTCTGTGTGATAGGTTGACAGAGACAGCATTTACAATAAACAATTTGTTATTGCAGTCTCAGTAATTTTTCAGAATGTAACATCTTGAAATTTATAATTTGAAAACTGTAATGATGTGTGATGTGGTTAATGGTATTTATTTCCACATTTTATGGTTATCCTGTAACTAACTAGATTGCCTTGTTTTTTAAAAAAAATTAAAAAAAAATTAACTCTTTCAATATTTGTTTTCAGCAGTGTTTTTGGAACAGTGCCAGTGGGCGTTTCTGCACAGACACAACCTGCTTCTTCAAGTGTGCCTGCTCCATTTGGGGGTATGTTTTCGGGTGTGTGTGTGTGTGTGTGTGTGTGTGTGAAGCTTTTTATAGAGAATCTAATTATATATTGTACAGCATTTTCTTTGGGGTACTAAAAGATAGTTGAAGCAATGATTTGTTATCAAAAGCTTCAATTTTTTTTGTCTTCATAAATACAGTAAACAAAGTTTGAATGCTAAATACATTTTGGATTTTATAGTATATTTTATAATTTTTTAAAGCTACACCTTCCACAAATCCATTTGTTGCTGCTGGTGGTCCTGCTGTGGCATCTTCTACAAACCCATTTCAGACCAGTGCCAGAGGAGCAACAGGTAAGCAGAAAGGTGAATTACGGAACAGTAAGCTTTGGGGGAAGGAGTTATTCATAAAGACTCCATGTGAGGAAAACACAGGGCCTTTCTTACTTCAGTGGAAAGAGTGAAAAGGGAAATTGATAGAAGAGTTTGTCCCTAAAGACAAATTGTAGCCAGATTTGTTGGTATACACTTATAATGCCATCCCTCACTGAGGTAGGAGGATCTTGAGTTTGAGGCTAGCCTGGACATAGTGAGAACCACGTCTCAAAAGAATAATTATATAAATATAGATGTTACCAGAGCACGTATGAAATGTTTGAATTTAACAGTTGGGAGGAACTTAAAAATTCTGTACTACCCACCCTCCATTTTTCAGGCAGGGAAAAGTGGACGTGGAACTGAGACTTCCTCAGAACTGCGTGGCAGTAACTGATGCAAGAGGAGCCTGAGTGGACATAGTAGTTCTATTTACTTGCTAGTCTAGTTTCAGGATTATTGGGTTTAAGTCATTCAATCTTAATAGAACATTATTTGAGAAGCTCCCTCCCCCATGAGATTATATCAGATGAATGGACTTTGTTACATTAATTTTGAAAAGTCTTTTTCTAGTGCATTTTTTTCAGAGTGTTCACATTTTTTAAATAGTGGGAACCTGATTCATTTTAAGATACAATATTTGACTATTTTATCTTTGATCAGTGTTTTCCTTAATTATCTTTATCTCTCTTTTTTATCTTTTTGGTTCACACCCAAGCTAGACACTTCTGTCTTCTATTGTACTTAGAGTTTTGTCTTACTACCCTGAACACCAGAGCTACTTGTCATCAACCTTGGAATGTCAGCAAGTGCAGGTGGTACTACTGGACATCCCTTAAATCTAGGGTTCATAAGCTTTGTTTTGCCGAGTAATTTTAGAAGCAAAACTTCATAGTAAATGTTGACATGAAATTTTGAGAGTATATCCTTATAACAATTAAATTAAGCCACTAAGAATTAGTAATCATCAATAGAGCCCTTTATTGTTGGCATACCCATAATCCCAGCACTCCAGAGGCTATGGGAAGAAGGATTGTGAGTTCAAGGCCAGCCTGGGCTATACAGCAAGACCCTAGCTCTAAACAAACAGATGAACAAACAGATAAACAAAATTGTGATACTGGGAATTTGAAAGATAACAGCTGTTTACTGTTTACATAAATGTCTTTAGTCATAATGTGTTGGTTTGTAACATAATAGGTGTTAGGTATTTGAGTTTCACATCAAAGTTAATTTTAAAAAAGATAAGTTGTTTGGATTCAAGTATACCTAGTGATTGTTTTAAATTTCTGTTATGCTTTGGTTGTTGACTGTTAATTCAAGTATACCTAGCCAATAATTGCTGTAGTTCTGTATCATTTCTTTTTAAGTGTGGTATATTCAATGTTTCTGTTTGTTTGCATATTACTTTTACCTAGTGTAAAGAATTTGTAAAATATCTCATGACACAACAGGCTTTTGTACATTGCCTCACTTAATCCTTACAGCTCTCATCAAATAAATGTCTTAGTCACTGTTTAACAGTTCAATGAACTGAGGCTCAGAAAAATTAAGTGCAAATGTTTTTAATGTAGACAGCCAAACTTGTGTTCACATTCTGTCTTAGTATTTATTTGCAGGGTTATCCTGAGAAAGTTTATTTTATATTTTGTTACTCTTAGGAAAGGGGATGTGCTAGCATTTGTTCTGTTAAAGTTGTTTGCAAGATAACTGTTGAGGGGGCTATAGATATCATAACCCCACTTAATAACTGAGGAGTGGAAAGTCAAGTTATAAGTTGACTAATGATGTGTGTGAGTAGTCTGGCAGGGTTGGTTTGAAATCTGGTGATGCAAATTAACTTGTGTGTTGTTTGTATTATATTATATGTACCTGATAAATCACACTTAGTATTTTCTTATGACTGTATGTCTGACTTGGTTCTGTCATTAGAGTTAAGGGCACTTTTTGCTTTTATAAAGTATGAAAGGCCTATACAGGATATAATACTATGTAAAATGTACAGATGACATAAGTTTAATACCAGCAAAATGTATTAGAAAGGAAAAATTTATCTCCAGAAATTTTAATTTCACGGTAAATAGTTTTTACATTGTAAACCATTGTGAATTTATCATGCCAGTTACCTTTATTGTGATGCTATTAAATTTACTAAATTAAAGCATTTTAATGTCATGCTTCTGTTGAAGCTGTAATATAGGTAATTCTTTGGCAGGTGTCTGGGCTTTTGAATCCCCAGTGCTTTATGTCTTCAATATCAGAACTTCTTGAGAGTTACTTCTTGTTACCCTCAAATTTGTTATATCTTGAGGTAGCTTTTGAAAGAATATGTTGCATAATAGTGAAATTTGAAGTTTTATCAATATGTCTTTTTCTTCTTCTTTTTAATTAAAATTTGAGACAGGGTATCACTACATAGCCCAGGCCACTCAACTCTCTGTGTACCCTAAACTGGTCTGAATCTTGAGATCATCCCATCTCAGCCTTCTAAGTACAGGGATTTCCAAACCTGTTTTATTCTTGAAATATCCATTTAAATCTTTTTTCCTGGATTTGCAAAACTTAGGGCTTCAACTTTCTTTTAATGTATTATATAGTAAACTTCTTTAAAAGATAAGTTTATGTAGTTTAAGACATGTTTAGTTTTAATTTTGTGATTCTGTGTTACTTAGCATTCTTTTTCTTCCAGAGCCCTTAAATATAATATAATTGTCAATTACAAGGACATTTTCTTAACTGTCTCCCTTTTTCTAGTGAATGAATGATCTTTGTTTTCTGTTATTTCAGTGAATGATTGTAAAGAGATTTTCTTCACAATGAGACAAATTTTCAGAAATGTAAATATGAAAGATTTCATAGGTAGTATTGAGATTGCATCCTTGTTTCATTACCTAGATAGAACTGGTTTGCAAAAGATACAGATTTGTCTTTAAGGTTTGTGTTAGTCACTTTTCCATCACCATGACAAAATACCTGAGAAAACCAACTTAAAGGATGAAAGATTTATTTTAACTCAGTGTTTCAGAGGTTTAGTCCAGGGTCACTTGGCTCCATTCTTTCCAGGTCCCCGGTGAAGTAGAACATCCTGATGGGGAGCATATGGTACACCAAGATGCTCATCCTATGGCAGCTGGAAGTGTGGGGGCAGGGACAAACACATCCTTTAAAATATTCCCTGAGTGACCTTCTCCATTCAGTTAGGCTCCAGCTCCTAAGGTTTCCATCACCTCCCAATAGACTATTGAAATACAGTCAGTGCATCAACCCCTTGATAGGTTAGAGTGCTCATGTTCCAAGGCCCCATCTGTGAGCATTGCTGCATTTGATACCAAACCTTCTTTAATACACAAGTCTTTGGAGGGCATTTCAGATTCAAATCGTAGCAAGATTCAAAATTAAATTATAACCAATCATTTTTAAAAATATTCAGAATGCTTTAAACTAGCACTCTTTTATTCAGGTACAGTTTTGCATTTAGCAAGCATATAAACATCAGTAGTATGTACTGTTCTTTATTTATATCTAAATAATCAACAGGGCCACCTCACCTGTCTAGTCTACTCTAAAAATGAGGATTAATACAAAGAAAGTATGTGGGGTGGGGGTGGGGCATGAGAGTAGCTGAAGGAAAGCATAGGAAAAAAACTGAAGTAAAAATTTACATCAGACTGCCTGCCTGGCAAGCACAAGGCCCTGAGTTCAAATTCCACTACAGCATAAGAGAGAGAGAGAGAGAGAGAGAGAGAGAAAAACTACTATAAAAAGGGCAAGTGCAAGGCCCTGAGCTCAAGCCCAGTACCTTGTTAAAAAAATAATAAAACATTACATTGGGCTATTTGTAGAAGAACAGATTTACTCATCACATGCTCTCTCACCCAGAATCTACTCTTAGTAGTTGGGTGTCTAACATTTAATAAGCTGTGGTTGGCACTTTTAACAGCCAAAAGTGAAAATTGTCAGTTTGGTAATTAGAAAAAAGAGAGATGGGAAGGCTGTAAAAATTAACAAAAAATAAAACTTTTAAGCAGGACATGGTAGTCTCCTGTAATCCCAGCAGTCACTAGAATGAGGCAGGAAGATCACAAGTTCAGGGGCAACATTGAACATACATAGTGAGATATTCCTCTTCCCTAAAATATAAGTTAATAAAAACTAAAATTTATAGCAGTATGGAGAAATATTTTCAAATCACATATCTGAAAATTGTTTTGCATTCAGAATATCTAAAAAATTCTTACAACTTAATGACAGCCCATTAAAAAAGAAAAAATAACAGGCCAAAGAGGTCAGTAGACATTTTTTCAAGAAAGTGTATAGACAGTCAGTAAGCAACATGAAAAGATGTTAGTTGTGTTTTCAAACTGCCGTGTGATTCTCCTTTGAACTTATAAGGATGACGGTAACAAAAGATAGTTATCAGCATTAGTGAGGATGTAGAAAAAACAGAAACTTCATACTGCTTTTAGAAATATAAAATGATATAGTGTCTTTGGAAAAGTTTGATCATTCTTCAAGAAGGTGAATATGAGTTACCTAATAATTCTGCTACTAGAAATATCCAGAGGAATGGAGACCACATCCACACAAAAAACTCCTACATAGATGCTCATATAGCCACCTTATTCTTAATAGCCAGAAAGTAAAAACAACACAGATATCATCAACTGATGATATGTGTACAATGGAATAATTTTTTATATTAAAAAGTAATGAAGCCAGGTGTGGAAGCTCACTACTTGGGAGCCAGAGATCAAGAGGATCACAGTTTGAACCAGTTTGGACAAAAAGTTAGCAAGACCCCATCTCAGCCAATAAGCCTGGCATGGTGGCGGGTACCTGGAATTCCAGCTATGCAGGAGGATCTAGGTCTGAGGCTCGCCCCAGTCGATAACATGAGACCCTATCTGAAAAACAAAGCAAAAAAAAATGGGCTAGGGGTGTGACTCAAGTGATAGAGATCTTGTCTAGCAAAGGTAAGGCCCTGATTTCAAACCCCAGTACTTGGGGTGGTGGGGAGGAGGGTAATGAAGTACTTTAAAGCTTCAACATGGATGAACCCTGAAAACCTTATTCTGAGTAAAACAAGCTAGTGACAGAAGACTACATATATACTACTGTGTTTAATATGAAGTGCTCAGTTTAGACAAATCTGCAGACAGAAAATAGATTAATTAGTGGTTGCCAGGGCCTGAGATATGGCAGTGGTGGGACAATATGGAACTGCTAGTAGGTCTGACATTTCTCTTACAGGGGATAAAAGTAGTCTAAAATTAGATTGTGATGATGGTTGTACAATCCTGTGACTATATTAGAAACATTGAACTCTGTCTTTTCAGTGGACAAATTCAATGGCATGTGAGTTATATCTTTTTGGGGGGAGAGGTGTACTGGGGCTTGAACTCAGGGCCTACACCCAGAGCCACTCCACCAGCCCTTCTTTTGTGATGGATTTTCCAGGTAGGGTCTTATGGAACTCTTTGCCTGGGCTGACTTTGAACTGATCCTCCTAATCTCTGTCTCCTGAGTAGCTAGGATTACAGGTGTGAGCCACCAGCGCCTGGTATGAATTGTGTCTTTAAAAGCTGTTAAGGAAATTTAAAAAAATTGTAGCAGCTTAGAACATGCTTGAGCTTTGGGGGATGGTGTCTTTATTTTAGACTGAAGTGCAGTGGCTAGGATTGGTTGATAATCACTGTTGACTGAGATTTTGTTTACAATATTCCCTGGAAAAAGATTCTGTGCCTAACTACATATAGGAAATGCTGGAATGCATACAATTTATTGAGTATTATCAGTGATGGGCCTCTTAAAGCCTTAATTCTATAAGAAAGGAGATAAATATAAAGTGACAAAAGTTGTTTATCACAGAACCCTGCTCAGTCTTTTGTTGAATTTAGAACATGATATAAAAATGTCTTTTTAAGTTAGCAAGAAAATGTATTTGTTGATTGCTTACTTACTGTATAGCACTTTTAATTCATTGTTACATTTAGTAACATTACATTTAGTCTTCATAGTAGCTTTGTGAAGTGTGTAGGTCATGTTGTTCCCGTCCCTCCACCCTCAGGAAACTGAGGCTGATAGTTAAGTAACGTCATATGGCTAAGAAAATGGCAAAGCTGAGAATTAGAAGCACTTAGTCTCTTAGCCTTCTGTTTCTTCAAGTTTATGCTAATCTAAAAATTACTCTAATTTAAAATGCATAGAAATATATTTTAGAAACAACCTCACTCAAGATTATTAAAATGAATACCAAAAGCAGTGTTTTTTTTATTTAACAGACTAAGTTTGTTTTCTGTTATTTACGTGTACTAATACTTAACCTCTCTGTCCTTAAACATGCCAGGTAAGATCTGCACAGGATGTACTTCTTCTCCTCTGGAGTTGAAGCTGAGGGTGCCCCACCCACTTTTGGGTTTTTTTTTGTGGAGGGTGGTGGTCGTGGTACTGGTTGTTGAACTTGCTTGCTAGGCAGGTACTTTACCACTTAAATAATGCCCCCACCTCTTTTCACTAATTTTTTTGGGATAGGGTGTCACATTTTTTGCCCAGGTTGGCCTGCGCTATGACCCTCCTATTTATGCTTTCCTCATAACCAGAACGATGGTGGGCATTGCCTTGTCCAGCTGTTGGTTGCAATGGATCTTGATAACTTTTTGCCCTAGCTGGTCTCGAACCACAATCTTCTGATCCCTATCTGCCAAGTAGCTGGGATTACATGAATGAGCCCCCACACCCAGCCTTTCCACCTTTCAAGTGAACTGTATTTAATAATTCCTCCTCATGATACTTAATTCATTTTAGTTGTCTTTATATATTTCTAATTAATTTGATGAGTTATAAATAAAACTATATAGTATTGTTCATGTGCTCTGTCCAAGACTTAAAGTTTAAGATGCTAACTAGCATTTTTGGGTGTAGCTAATGATGTCTACAGAGCCTTTTTATGGTTATAATTGTATCCTCATATGAAAAAGAAGTTAGTGCTTATTTAAAAAATTGACTTTTATCAACTTTTCTTCGTTTAGTATTTGTTCTGGTTCCTGTTTATTTCAAGCAGTATAAATATTATCCTGTCATGAATGTAGTTGAAATGAAAGGTCTTAATTTGTGCATTTATTATGTATAATGCTACTAGTTGGCAACATTGTGCTCTAATTTTAGGGTTCTTGAACGAAATCAATTTACTTTTATTTTAATAATGTTTATCCATAACTTAATTGACATTGGTCTCTTTATGGCTTTCCATAAGGCCTTTCTGGAGCAATGCATTCTCAAGTGTTTCCTCACGCTCATTTTGGTAGGTGGCCACAAACTAATACCTAGATTTGTGTGGCAATTTGTCTACCTGCTTGTGGAAGCTTCTGCTAGTGTTCTGGATCCTTGCATGTGGAATTAAGTTTTTTCCATGTTTTCAAATGGAGTGGGCATGGATGTGTGGCATCAAGATTATGTTATATTTAAAGTTACAAACCTGATTTGTAGCGATTTATGTTTTAACTGAAAAGCATTTTTGCTTACCTCCATGGTCACGATAGAATGTTAATAATAGCTATTTGATTCTTTTTCTTAAGTTTGAATTCATAGTGCTTTAATTGATACCTTTTTGATGTGCCAGACCATTTTATCACATTCCATGGAGTTTGGTTTTGCTTAACTGTATCCAAGTTTTGCTTTTTAGTGCTTTCTTAAACAGTGATTTGTCAAAGTTATGTCAGTGCATTATTGTCTGTTATGAAACCTCCTGTTCCCTTGCCAATGTGCTTATTATATTCTTTAATTCACTTGCTTCCTAGTGGCCTGGGTTTTTTGCCCTCATCAGTAGTAAAGAATTAGCTTTTTGAAAGTTTGATAGTCTAATTAGGGTTTTGAGCAAAATTGCATTGTTACAAATATTAGAACTATGAGGACTACTTTGGGCAACATCTATAACTTGTTTTCAAGTTTTTATAAAATAAAAAATCATTTTGTAGATAGCTTAATATTTCATCTTAGTGCCTTAAATTGAGAATGAAGATTGATAATTTTTTAAGAACAGGAAATTCAGCAAAATTTTACATTCTTTTGAGGATGCCCATTTCACTTTTCCAATCTTTGTGCTTTTCACACTAATTCTATAACTGTGCAATCTGAACCTTTCTCAGTCCTCTTCCAGAGCTGTCAATTTACCTTTCAAGAAAGGGGTGGGTGTCTGTATATTTTTTAGAATTGATTTTGCATGAAAGTTTAATGGCATTAATGTTCTTGATAGAATTATTTAGCTCTGATTACAAAACTGCATAGGTTTGAGTACTCTGCCTCTGACCCTGTCCTAAAAATCCTGTTATTTTTGGTGGACTATTGTACAGAGGTTTAAAATTTTTTTTTCAGGACCACACACATTACATTATAGCAGACACTTGAATAAGTCAAATTTACTGAAATTTTTTCATTGTTATTTCACTGTATGTATCAGAGTAAACCTAAAAACAAAGATGTATATAAGATTATATTATGTAATTATATTATGATGGGCTTTCAAAAGCAGACTACTGTTCTGACTTTAACTTTATATAATACTTTGAGATTTCCTTGGGATTTCAAATGACACCTTTAATAGTTACATCCTGGTCACTGGATTCTAGGAGAACAAAATTTCCTAGGTTATGTTAAACTATGTAGTTAGTGCTAAAACTCATCATTACTAACTTTGCTGGAATTTCAAATGCCTTTATTGTATATCTTATTATTTTTCAAGTGGGCAATGTCTGTTCTACAATGTTGGGTGTAGGAAACAAACTCCGTTTTGTATGTCTCTGATCCACCCTTCTTTTCTGCCAGCGGCAACCTTCGGCACTGCATCCATGAGCATGCCTGCAGGGTTCGGCACTCCTGCACCCTACAGTCTTCCAACCAGCTTTAGTGGCAGTTTCCAGCAGCCTGCCTTCCCAACCCAAGCACCGTTCCCTCAACAGACAGCATATTCTCAGCAGCCCAATGGTAAGATCTAATACTTGGCTAGATGTCCTTTACGTATCATTATGTTAAGTCTTCAGGACAATTAAATAAAGATGCTGTAACACTGTATACTGTGTTTACTGTACAAAAATTGTAGCCTTTAGTGATTTAGGCTTCAGAAAGCTGATATAGTAAATTTCTATGACCAGATTACAGATGCGGGAGAGTACCCCTTCCTTCTGAAAATCACCAGTGATTTTTTTCTCATTTTGTGTGTTCCAATATGCTTCTTGATTTGAAAAAGAAACTTAATTAGGCCTAGAGAATTAGTTTATCACACTTTCTCTTCAGGTGGTATAGGTTATAATTGGTGGTTCTCTTCTAACAAGGTGCAGGTTTTGCAGCATTTGGACAAACAAAGCCAGTGGTAACCCCTTTTGGTCAAGTTGCAGCTGCTGGAGTATCTAGTAATCCTTTTATGGTAAGTGAATTTAATTTTAGGGACTTTATAAATTGTTGTGTCTTTGAGTTAGGAAAACTTAATATCCCTACATGCATTTAGTGTTCTGTTATATGATGCCATAAGATTATACAAATTGAGACAAAGCTAATTATGCATGATCCTTACCTAACCTTTAAAAACCTTGTAATTCAAATCACCGACAGTATTTACGCTGTTTTGTAATATGAAACATCTGCTTTCTTATCCAAATAACACTTTTGGAGCAACCTCAAGATTTAGTAAATCAGTATGAAAAGGAGTCTTAGAGTCAGAGATTTTTGTTTGAATTCTGAGTACTTCACTACCCGCACCCTCAGCGGTACTGGGGTTTGAACTCAGCCTCATACTTGCTAGGCAGGAGCCATACCACTTGAACCACATCTCTAGCTTCATAAGTCCTTCTTTTAATGTGCTAAGTCCCTTCTTAGGTTCTGTTACAAGAATTGTATGAACTAATGTAGATGAAAAACACAGTATCCTCCCTGACACATAATAATATTATTGTAGTTTATTGACAGTAAGAATAATGAGTAGATACTATTGCTAATAATAAATTATTCTTTATTGAAGTTTAATTAAATGAGATTAAGTACAGTTTAATGTTTTCATATTTTGCACATGCCACTTTTATTTGTCTGTTTTGTCTTATGTTTTCCTTTAGACTGGTGCACCTACAGGACAATTTCCAACAGGAAGCTCATCAACCAATCCTTTCTTATAGCCTTATATAGACACTTTACTGGAACGAACTTTTATGTGGTCACATTACATCTCTCCGCCTCTTGCACTGTTGTCTTGTTTCACTGATCTTAGCTTTAAACACAAGAGAAGTCTTTTAAAAGCCTGCATTGTGTATTAAACACCAGGTAATATGTGCAGAACAGAGGGCTCCGGTAACAACTTTTAACCTGTGAATTGGCAGAAAAAGGTAGCGGTATCATGTATATTAAAAATTGGCTAATACTAAGTTATTGCAGATACCACATTCATTATGCTGCAGTACTGTACATATTTTTCTTAGAAATTAGCTATTTGTGCATATCAGTATTTGTAACTTTAACACATTGTTATGTGAGAAATGTTACTGGGAAAATAGATCAGCCACTTTTAAGGTGCTGTCGTATATATTGGAATGAATGACTTAAAATCATTTTAACCATTGCTACTGGAAAGTTAAAAGTCAAAATTGGAAGGTTTTATTCGTTCTTGAATTTTTCCTTTCTAAAGAGCTCTTCTATTTATACATACCTAAATTCTTTAAAAATGTAGAGGGATACCTGTCTGCATAATAAAGCTGATCATGTTTTGCTACAGTTTGCAGGTGAAAAAATAAATATTAGAAAATATGCTATTGTTTTTGTGTTCTTGCTGCAATGCCTTTACCAAAGTGGCCTTAAATATGAGTAGTGAATTGAGAACATCTTGAATTCTTAAAAAGACTTCTAGACTAACTTTTTATAAAAAGGCCATGTAGAAAATTTATTGAAACTACTAGGACTGCTATATTCAGGAATATGTTAATGGTAAAGCATTTAAATGTAGCTTGTCAGATTTGCCATAATACTTCTAATTTCTTTGCAACTTCTTGATTTTGTGAAATTTGTATATATGAAGAATTTGCATGTATGTGTATTTACATGTTTTTAAAAAAGATCTTGAATTCTCAGACTGCAAAAGACCTATTTTAACTATGATTTTTAAATTTTAATTGTCTTTGAATGTATTGGAAGCAGACATGCGTTAACTGTGACATGATTGCACCTGAGTTGTTGTCCCCTAGTCCCCAAACTGGTATTATCTATAGGTCATTTGCTTATGTTTGTTTTTTTGGGGAAAGAAACTGGAACACAGTGTTACGTTAGAGTTATGGAATACTTTGTTTAAAAAGACAGTGATACTAAGTTTAGTTCTATCTTTTTGTTAATATTCAGATGAACTTGTTTAAATATTTATAATATAGTAATGCCTCATCCATCCAGAGATAATCTGGTAGTCTCATCAAAATGGAACACAACTAAGAAACTTGGAATTGTGGTTTTTTTAATGCCTCTGAGCAGCACATATATGTCATAAAGTCTATATCCTAGAGCTTATGTATTTGTTTCTATGTGAGATTTTAAATTTTGATTATTTGATGTCCTGGCCCATAGCATATTAATAGTTCAAAAGTGATGATTTGATGAAAGGAAGGGGATTGAAAAAACTATGAAGAGCACACACTGTCCAAGACCACTTAGTGCAAGGACAGCCAGCCCAGCCCACTGACCATTACTATATTACATCATCTTCTGATAATCGTCTGTTATTATGACTCTCTGTCATCACAAAAGGTGAAATTGCATACACACCTATGTAATACATGTGTGAAAAATTTTATCTTAAAGTGATTAAAATTTTTTTTAAAGCTTTGGTATTAAAGGAGGTGAACATCAGTTTCCTCATTTTATTCATGTTGAATACATTTTTACAATGATGACTACATCATTTGTTACCTTACTGTTTTAACATCTCTGTAGTGTATAGTTAATATCCAGTGCTCATCTAGCTGAAAGTATGGTTTATCTGAACCATTTTGGTAAGCAAAGATGCCTTGGAAATCTTTGCCCCTTTTCTGAGCAGCATGCCTCTCAGAATTAAACAATTGCTTCACAGGTGTGTGTTGGTACAGTCTTGAAATGTTTCTACATTTCTGGGGACTCCCTCAGCCAATTTTTCATGGAGAGCAATCTAAAGAAATGTCTTTGAATTTCTGTTTTAAGTTGTATTGGGTCCAAATCAATCCATATGTATAAAAAGTTATACTATATAATTGTAGGCCATTGCTCAGATAACCTACCAGGTTTTCCATCTAAGAAGTAAATTAAACAGTTGTTGTCAAAATAATTTTAAAGACTATTTTTTTCTGGTAAATCTTGAATTTAAGTGGCAACTAGTTGACTTTAAATGTGCTCAATCAAGATGTTTAGGTTAAGAAGAGATCCACCCTTAAAGTGGATTTTCATGTCATCTGTACTGTTTATTTATTTAAAAAATCAGCTTTCTTTAGATTTTATATTTGAGTTGGCTTCTAGTTGTACATAAGCCATCAAAATTGTGTTAGATACTAAAAATCCTTGAAAGTGATAAAAGTGAAGACCTTCAAATTTTCTGGCTTACTAGATGAATCACATCTTTCCTGTTCTGCCTTTGTTCAGGAAAGAAATTTGTCTTTTCTTTTAGGAAAAACTTTGCTGATATAGTTTAAAGGCATCTTTTATTCTTGTGTTTTTTTAATAGAGAATGTTTTATTCTCAATATTTGTGAAGATAGAAGTTAGGTCATCACTTTCTTCCTTAAAATAACTCCTGTAAATTTGAAAACTCATTTTAGTCTTTACCTATGAGGTAGTCCTGTCCCTAGCACATACCCTCTTTGGTACAGTACCTGTAAATTGTCAAAATGGTAAACTGGCTGCTTCTTTATCACTTTATCAACAGTACCGAAACATTTTGGTCTAAGACCCATAGCTCTTAGATCCCTGAAGAGGTTTTCTTGGGTCTTTTTGTTTGTTTTGATGGGTTTTTTTTTTTTTTTTTTAAATGAAGCTTGTACCTTTCAGGATTTAGGGTATTAAACATCAATATGAGCTGGGCACCAGTGGCTCATGCCTGTAATTCTGCCTATTTTGCAGACTGAGGTCAGAGAGAGCGCAGGTTGAGGCTAATTTGGGCAAATAGTTTGCAATACCCCATCTCCAAAATAACCAGAGCAAATGGACTGGCGTTGTGGCTTGAGCAGTAGAACACCTGCTTTGCAAATGGGAAGCCCCAAGTTCAAATCCCAGTCCCACCCCCCCCAAAGAAAAAAGAACACTGAGATTTTTTTAAAGCATATGACTGTAATAATCCCATTACTTGTTAACATAGGTAATATTTTTAGTGAAAATAACTTTACAAAATTAAAACTAATGAAAATAGGAACATTGTTTGTATTTTACCCATCTTTTAAATTCTGGCTTAGTACTTACAGTGAGATGCTTATACTATTACATTTTGATTATTTTTGTATTGCATACCGTGAAAGCGCTGGAAAACTACACTGTGCACTTGTAAAGTCATGAGTGCGAAAAAGGCATGTAACATCCTAGAATTATTATGAAAATAGTTTGACCTTATATTTCAGAGGGTCCACAGACCAAACTTTGTGAAAACTGCCCTTTAAATGTGTAGGTTTCTGGAACATTAAGTACCCATGGGGTAAACATTACTATTTTCTGAAGTACTAAGTTTTCTTGGCGAGAGAAGCTGAAATTCCTGTTGAAGTTGCAAATTTTTTAACATGGTTTAGGTATTTCAGAATAATAGTAATGGTATTGCAGGTGTGGTTTAGTAGGCCCTTTCAGCCTATCAGGCATTTGCTGAAAGCTTTCCTCATATTTTCTTACAGTCTTTACAGTGGATCCACAAGGCATAGAAGAATTAAGGTGGTAACAGCTTTTGCTGTTGGGAGCAAATGCTGTGTCACATTTATGTGTGAGTGGATTCTTTCTAATGTTTCGAAATTTGAAGAAAGTTACTTTCTGTATCCTGTATACTTAAGAATATGTAAATCATTTAACCTAATTTTATTTCATAATTCAATGAAGTCAGTATAGCCTATTCTGTGGAGTTTTGTTTAAACTTCAGAATAGGGTAAATAGTGAAACATGTTTGAAACTGAGGACTGCATTTGAAGTATCACAGTGACTTTTATTTTGTGATGTGTACCACTTTTATTATAGTTTGTACCTTATACAGCTTTAAATTTGCTTTTTAAAAGATATTAAAATTTTATTAAATTAGGCAATTGTATTGAATTTATCCTCATTAGGTAAAGTTTTCTTTGTATATTTTAGAGCAGTGTCATTGAGATTTTTATGTGGTTGTACTTGAACAAATGAATGTATGATCACTATGTAATTCAGTGTTGTGCTGGTGAATGTTTCACAACCATCTCTAAGAAAAGAAAAAGGACCCTGCTTTGTAACGTTTACTGATGTTTGTGAAGTAAATACTCGCCACATAGCTGATTTGACCTACTAGTTTGATGTTATGAAATATAATCAAAGAAACACGCCAACAGATCTCCCATCTGGGCAGTCCTGCTCCAGCATAGCACTAATGTTTACATCCACAATTCCTGTGTTAAATCTGCCCCTTGATGATTAGATCTAGTTTTTGGGTAGCTTTTAGTTTTTTATTGTTATTAACTCATAGGGTGATTTTTAAAAGCTGGGTTTTGAAGCCCACAAGTGGAGTGGAATAGGTATTCTTTTTTCTTTTCCTTTTTTTGTTTTGTTTGGTGGGACTGGGTTTGAACTCAGGGCTTCATACTTGCAAAGCGGGTACTCTACCGCTTGAGCCATACCTCCAGTCCAGTTTCTTAGCTTCGTGGATATTCATTTGGCAGATGTAGGAAGTGACTTTTTCTATGGCATGTTTTATTCTTATTCTGGAGTCAACTGAATAAAGTTTGAATTTTTGATAGTCTTTTCCACTGAAGACTTTTCCAAGAATGCAAACCAGTGACCTCTATCCATTCTGCTTATTTTATGCCAATAGTTAAGATTCATTGTATATTTTGAAATCTGTGCTTATTCAACATGCAGAGCTGTGTGGTTTAATGAAAATAGAATGTTGTGATTCAAGGATTTTGTAAAAAGAAAAGGTGATCCTGGATAAAATGTTTTAATTGGTTTAATTTTTTTCATTGGTTCTCTGAAATCTTGAGCAGTTGCTATCCAGGTTACAGTTTAAGCAGTAAGTGTAAAATTGAAGTTTTCATTGTCAGCTTTTTTCCTTCATTCTTGAGTGGAGGAACAGAGGAGGAGAACACTCCTAAGAAGCCTTCTAGTTTTGACTACTAGTCATTGACTAAGGGAAGTAAGTGACTGATTATAAACTGATCTTACATAGCCAGTGTTTCCTAGAATGCTATAGATATAGTGAGGTTTTATAAAGACTTTAATAGTTTTTTATATGTTCTAAGATAGTATGTACTTAAGGTTTTTAAAAATTATGCAGTGCACACAGGGTATTAAGTGATACACATATCTATATAGCCTCTGTGACTTTATTCCTACACTCCAGAGAATATATAAAAGGAATGTAATTTCTTAAATTCTTCTGTAGTCTTTCAGGAATGTTATCTATCTCTACATGCTTCTCGATGTCCTGCCTTGTTTAAATGCACAATTTTGTAACTTGGTTCATTTTGCTTAACTTGATTGTCTTTCTGTATTACCACATCTGGCTCTAACTCTTGGTTTTAATGGCTTCAGGATTCCATTAATGGATGTCACTTGAGAGGAACATTTGTTAATTGGCTTTTTTTTTTCTTTAACAAAAAGCATTGTTACAGTGAGAATTTTCATATACATATATGAAAATTACTCTTGATTCTGCTTGACTGGCACATTCAATAAAATAGATACTGTATTTTGAGGCTTGCAGGCTGTTTAAGTATGATCTTAGGCTTCCCTTTAAGAAACTTCCAAATAAGGGGGAAAAAGCTCTTAAATTAACTGTAATAAGATACTTGAAGGACTCTGATGTTTCAGTTGAACTACGACGGCATTCAGTCAGTTCTTCGACAGAGTGCAAATTCATGTGTGTTTTGTACCTCAATCTTTACATCACTCCTACCTGTGACTCTTGGATTTTCTAAAAAAAAAAAAAAAAGGCTTGCGACTTTGTTTTACAGTTTGTTGGTATTGTGCCTTTCTTATCTACATTAGTGTAGCCTCTACCTTACTTTAAGAAGAGAAAATACAAATTAACTCTGGCAAAGTCTTATTTTCTTACAAGTACGTGTTTATTTGTTATCTTTTCAAAATTTGCTTCTCTTGCTTTAGAAAAGATTTGAGTAACAACTGAAAGTTCTAGATCTGATTTACTCACAGATTATAGAGTTCAGAAATTTCTTTATTTATCATTAGCTTGTCATAGGACTTGCTTCCTAGAAAAGTTTGTTTATATCAAGACTACGTTCCCTAATAGCTAATTAAAGAGTACCTTTGCATTTTAAGACTAGAAATAGGGTGTGAGGAATCTTACTGAGACGTTCAGAAAAAATAAGAATCCCTTCTAGTCGACAAGGTATATTTAGAAAATGTTAATATGCTAAGATATTGGAAGAACAACCTTAATGCAGGAGGTGGTTGTAGGTATTATATGAAAACTTACAGATTGGTTTTAATATTCATTTCTAAAATAGTTTAATATAGTAAATATTAAAGTAATGGTTAAGTTCATATTCATTGTAAACCATTGTTGAAAGAATTTTTTTTAAATAAAGGCTATTAAATTTTGTGTACTATTTGGCATGACCTCTTTCTTTTTAATAGTCATATAGTATTACAAGACACCTGGAGTATTGAAGAATAATCTTTGTTTCTTCTGTAATTCACAGTATGTGTTTCTATAAAGCAGCTCATGTACCATCTCCATCATAACCTTATTTTTATTTCATTAGCTATGTATTATTAATAGCTAATGCTATTGCTACTGTTTTGTCTGTTTTTTTTTAAATTATAAGATGTGCTTTTTTTTAAAAAAAACAGGACATGTTTCTGACTTGCAGTGTTAGTCTCTTTTCCCCCCAAAGAATGGTTACTTAATTATTGAGACACTTAAAAGCCACTGAAGAAAATAGGATGCAAAACTGGTAAGAACAGCAGCACAGCATCAGGGAGAACATCAAATTCCATGGTGTGTAAGTTGGTTTTAATGGGATTTTACCTTCCTTACTACCTATAGAAACTTAAAAGTTAAATATTGAGCTGCCCCATTTTTTCATACCCCAGTCTTCCCTATAATAACCAGCGTTATTCATTATGATTCCATATTATTCTGTACATTTTTGTTGTGTGTTTAAATTGCTTTTTTTAACCATCACCAGAACCCAGATGAAAATTTAATTTCCTGAGAAAGAATATTTCCAATTTCACCCCAAGCTGCTCTCTGAGCAAGTGGAATAAGAAGGAGCTAATGGTTTTTATTGAACTCTTGAGGATTAGGGCTCTGAAAAGTACTATAATAGTGTCCAGTCAACTTCTGCCATTAACAGACCTTTGGGAATTTAGATGCTCTGGCTCACTAACTTTAAAATGAGATCTCTTTCAAATTCTAAAACAAGATTTTAATAAGTAATTAACTTTGGAAATTGGAATTAAACATTTCAGAATAATAGCTGACCATATGAAACTGGCTAGTTTTAGATTGAAAAAAATAGCAAAGTGTTAGCATCATAGAGTTTGACCCAGTAGTATGAACACCATTTGTTAATCATCAATTTCTACCACATATTCCATATAATTGATCTCCTTTAATGACACTGAAACCTTTTTTAAAAAGTGGTATTTTTCATAAGAAAACTAATACTTAGTTGTGCATTTGTCCAAGAGTCCACAGCTACTTAGTAACTGATAGAAGTAGAATTCTCCCTTTAAAATTCAACGTCTTGTATATATTATATTCCTTCTTTGAAGCTCCTCCTTCTAATAGTTTTAATAAGAAGTAAGAGTTTGGTTCTAAGAAAATAACAGCCTCTCAACTTGTACATCATCAATTCAAAATGGATTAAAGATCTTAATGTAAGATCTGAAACAGTAAGGAACCCACTGGACCACATAGGCATAGATAATAATTTTATAAATGGGACTCCAGTAGCTCAGCAGTTAGGGGAAAGTACTGACAGATGGGATTGCATGAAACTAGAAAGGTTCTGCACAGCAAAGGAAACACTCACCGGACTGAAGAGACACCCTACAGAATGGGAGAAAA